TTTTTTTTTTTTTCTAGCGCAGTTCCTTTAATTTTTATCCTCGCTTCGTGTTTAAAATGATTGAATTTTGAAACGATTTGGTAAAACTGATTTTTTTCTTTTATCTTTTTCTGATCGGAATCGTGTTTACGAATCCGTTTCTTCTCGTTCTTTTCCAGTCTCATCGCAGAGAAAATTTGAACGACATTTCGTTAGGCATCATCGCGAGAATCAAAGTCGCACGACTGACTGTTTGGCAATTTCGAGTAGAAACGATTGCAGCTTGTCAATCAAAAAATTTCGCTATTAAATATCACGGAGATGTTCTTTCGACGGAGATAAGACATTCGTTCTTCGAATGGAGGATGTTAATATATTCGCGAGATATTTTTGAAAAAGAGGTCAAAACAAGCAGAAAATTTGTCATGCAAAAATTTTTATCTTCTTTCGATCGAAATTATTTTAATCGAGATAATTGTCTAAATAAAATCCGTACTGCGGCTGATACCATTTTATTGTACAGATTGTTCGTGCGTAGAAGAAAGAAAAAATATTCGAAGCATATAGTTATGAAAAAATGAAAATCTCTATTAAGCTCCATTTCTTTCGTTCAAACTTAATTTTACACAAACATTCGCTTCTAATCAATTTAAGTTTGCATTAGACGAAGCGAGATACAGACACTGCTTATCTCTATCGCACCACCGTCTCTCTCTCTCTCTCTCTCTCTCTTTCTCGTCTAACTTCGATATGCTCACAACTTGATAAATAAGCCTCGACCGACATTTTTACGTACCAACTTTTGCGTTCTCACTATTACATTAACCTCCACAATCGATCCTTCAAAAGCTCGTCTCACTCGATATATCGACTCTCCTTCAATCGTCGAAGAGATAGAGAGGGGGAGAACGAGAGGAAAAACAAAAAAAAAAAAAAAAAAAGATTAGCTGTGACAGGTAGTGCAGGTGAACAGTTGCGTAATTAGTCGAGGTTGAGTTAGGTGTCGCTCGCTGGTGGGAGAGATGGCGAGTTATGCTTCTCGCACGTACACTTTCGTGGCGAGGAGAGACCGTAATCTCGCCTCTCTTGAACACCGAGATTCGAGATTAGTCAGTTATTTTTCAATTCCTCCTCCTCCTCCTCCCCCTCCTCGCGTTGTTTTGTAATAGTTGGAGAGGCGCGCTATTCGTTTCAAACTCGCGGGAGAGAGAGAGAGAGAGAGAGAGCAAGCGGTGGAGCAATGGATTCCTCGAGCGGGTGGAAACAACGATTTGTATCGTTGAGCTTCTCGGTTCGAACGTTTTGATTTACAGCGATTTCCCACGGTAGAAAGTCGTCGATCGAGATTTTTCGGCGCGTCATGCTTTTCCGTTTCGTGATTTCTTGTTCCTTCGTTTCTTCTGGTGTATGAGATTCGGATGTGGATTCTCTTGGGGTATGGAAACGAATGGAAGTAAGTGGAAATCGGGTGATGCGAGCAGGAGAGAATGATTCTGAAATGAGGCGAATGAAATTTGTTAGTTGGGATTAGAGGGATTTTTAAGGGGTAATTGAAAACTTACCAAATGTAATAAATGAATTTTGATTAATTTTCTAGATTTGGAATGTATTATATGCAAGAAATTATAAGCGCAAATGAATAAAATTTTACTTTTTTTGTGTTGCACTCGATCGTAATTGATTCAAATTCGACTTTTATTTCTTGAAAGAAAAAATATTCTATTTTCGTCTTTCTAAGAATATTTTTTTTTTAAATTCTTGCATGTAGAACAATTCTTTGCTCGATTGTATCGTCGTTCAGAAACCTTTCTGTATAAGATTCCCAAACGATTCTTTATTTCACTCGATTAAGATTTTAAGCTTTTGAATTGCCAAAAATTCCATCTAAAGAATATACGCAATTTTCCAGTAACTTTGCAAAAATTCTCACTTCTCGAAAATAGATATTTTCTTTTCGGATACGAAGCTCGACTCGATATCTGATT